TGAATCTTGACTCTTAATAAGGGATCGCTTGGTTTTATGCAAGACATCTCCCTGCTAATGCAAACGTGGCAGAATCATTGTCACATGAGACCGAGATCACACAGGCATCTAAATCACGCTCACAAAATGATTAATTGTGCAGCCCTAGTTCAAAGTGGTGGTCTCTCTCATTCCAAGATAACTAGAGGGCTGCATTTATATAGGAAGTAAACTAGCTTGCTCTGACCTCTGAGGTGGTTTTCACAGCAGTTCCTGGCTGACCTTGATGTGACCAGCAGGTACGGCGTGACACCTCACACCAGTTTCCAACTTCCAAAATTCTAACATTCACTTTCCCAAACCAATTTATGCAGTCACTATATGGTTACATCCCCACTGTTGACTGTGTTTGTTTTCTTGTAGGTGACGAGCTGGCGCAAGTCGTGGGTTGTCCGTGGATAATGCGAGACAGTGGCGGTAGCTTGGCCCAGAACCGCTGGCAGGGAGACCTGGGTCTGACCGCTGTGGGGCAGGACAACACAGGAGGGGGTAGGTCTTTTACCGGTGGTTACCAATAAAGAATGTGAAGGTCATGGCCATATTGAATGTTGGGATGGGGGCGGCATTTTGGCAGGGAGGTACTGTGTTTACCTGCATATATTCTTGTTTTGTTTGTTTCAAAACTTGCTTAAATCATTCAGATCTCACTTTACCGACTCTGTATGGATACTTATAGCTGACTGTAGCTAACTTGTAGCAGACCTAGAGATCCAGAACATGTGAAAGAAATATTTGATTAAAATGAAAACCTGAAGGCTGAACACAACTGATATAGTTAATCACTGCTCATTTTGTGTTTAGGTGGGATTCCAGGAGACCACCTCATAGTCCCAGTGTCAGGTCACAGTGTACCCAGCCCCATGCACCTCAGACTGGGGCAGAAAGAGAAAGTGTGGACAGGAGAATATGTAGATGAGGATGAGGAGGATGGCATGGGTGAGATTGAGGCAATAGGTGACGAGGAAGAAGAAAATGATGTTGAAGGGGAGGACATGGTCAAGTTTGAGGGCAAGGGTTGGATTAACAATGAGGAGGAGAAGGAAAATGAAGGAGACCAAGCAAAGGTGGAGTGGGCAATACCAGACTTTGCTGCCCAATCCACCCGGCAGTCTCATTCGCAACACCACTATTTTGGACAACAACAGAAGAAGGAAGTAGAGGAAAGTGATGATGTCATTGTCGATGATACCCTCTCCCAGACTGAAGCAGGGGACTTGCTCAGGTCCCGCCTCAGCAGTTACAGGGCTCTAAGGAGGCTCAGGCGCTGGCAGCGCTTACGATCCCGCGGAGGCCTTGGATTTCGGCTCACCCAGCACTGGAAGAGCTGGCGCCAGCGAGCCCGGTGGGCATGTTTACTTGGGCAAAGGTGGAACTGGAGAGGGCAAAGGTATAATCTATACACCAAGCAGAAGAGAATAAAAAGGTATCAGCAATCACCATGCACCAATGGAGACGATGACAACAGCAATGAGAGGTTCACAGAGCTTGACAGAGGTATTGACACCGCTTTACTTCTAAATAAGCCTAGTTGATGTGGGCAGCATATTTTAAAATGGCACAGGTCTATATTTTTCTTATGCCAAGGGAATTATTGAGAAACTGCAATTTTACTATCAACAAATCACATGAAATGCCAACCATGTGTTAGTCTGCCTCTCAGTATTTTGACTTCACTAGCCTGTCCACTTGCTTTGAGCCCCAAATTCATTTGTTCTTAATGCAGACATAAATCTTTAAAAGGTTCAAATATATAATTTCAGATTTAAAATGGCTGAATACTGTCATTCTTGGCAAATATTACTTCTGACCAGAGTAAACGGCATTTGTTGGACTGTGTTAATCCACATTTGTCGCTTTAGTGAATATTTCTGCTTGAAGGTGGTGTTCATGGTAATGAAGGAACAATTAGAGAGATAAACAATATCAGAGCATTTACCTTTTGAAGAAGAGCTCATTTTAATGTCTGGTTTCTGCAGAGGTTGGATTTACTTCTTTTCACTTCAAAAATCAACAAAATGTAGATTTGCCTAGCGGTGGTCAAACATCCGGATACACCTGTATGTCATGCCTGTTACTTTACCACAAGTTAGACGAGAAATCAATTGTCATAATTTAATTACTGCTATCTGACATAAGGTCAACTCAAGAATTGGCATTATTATTCTCACTAGTAAAATCAGACTGCTGTTATGACAGATGCATCATAAAACACTGTCATCATAGTGGCTTAGCCAGCTTTACAGTTTTCACAATTTTGTGAAAAGTCCAAATGGTTCTTGAAATTAGTGTAACAAGATGAACACAGGAGAAAGATGGCAAATAAACTATCTTGCTCTTTAGTAACATTTAGTGGGACAGAACAACATTGGCAAAGTCATGTACTCATTCCATAGTCCATAGTGCTTTTTTCCAAATCCTTTATTTAGAGTTTGTTTTAATCAAGTGAAAAATATTGATTACGTTAAATAATCTGTGTAGAGGAAGAATGCGTAGTCTGATTTATTTACTTTTCTCTGGTAGATAAGCAGATAAATGGCTGCTCTTCAGAGAAGCAAGAGGACAGAGTGAGACGCGATGTGGAGGTCAAACCTGTGGAACTGGCCCTAACTGAGGAGCACATGAGTTGTGTGACTGGTACGGATTAGAGACGGATGCTGTTAGCTTATGGTTATTGTCAGTCAGATAACATTTAAAACTGCTGTCTTTTTATCTAATGGGATATTTTCCACATTAGTGTTTAAAGATACTTTTCATACCTTTGTTATTCACTATGAAATGTCAGAACAGTAGATTGACAGTTTCCTGTGAATTGGCAGCACATTTGTTTGCTTGTTAGCTTGTTTTCATATTAATTTAATAGAATGTTAGGCAAAGATCCAAGCCGCAAGTGATTAGGTTTTGGTGTGAATTCACATCAGGTTCAGATTCAGAAGAATTTTCTTAAAATTGCGAGACTGCCGATAGTTTTTCTAATAAGATCCTGTTATTAGAATTACACACAAAAAATAGTAAAATGTTAAACAGAAGGAAATGGTCTTTTTGTGTGGACACCAGAGTATGCTTTTCAACCTTGTGAAGATGATTCTCAGCTTTCTTTTACCTCAAGGTATTCTTGAGGAGTCTCTACAGCAGTATGGCAGTTTGATCCCCGTCCACGTCGATGACATTGTGGATAAGCTTCAGGACATCTTCAATGAGAACTTCTTTCAGCCACACAGGTCAGACATAGTGTTTGGTCATTTCTTCTCTGTTTAGATGGTGTATAACTAGTGGGGAACTGGTTGGATAAAATGATTTTCCAAGGTTTTTGAAATGTACTGGCCAGTGCTGGAAAGAACATTAGTATGGATGAATTTATGTTTTTTTCTGTCATTATTGACTATTATATGAAACTGAGAGATTGTTTTCTGAAACAAAATCTATCAATCCTTGTCACTTACTGCTCTTTGACAGTCTAACACTTATCAACTTCTTACCTGAACTTTGTGTATTTACACTGCACCACTAGATATTAACAGTGACCCGTGGTATAATCTGTCAGGCTAAATTCCTTTTCTCTCTGCTGTGCCACTTGTGGTGGTAAGGAGAAAGCACCTTTTTTACAGAACAAAGGCCAAAGAACAAACAACAACATTTCTTATATTACCACTGGCCCCATTGTTCACCTGATAAATAGCTGTTGTAACCAGTGACCTTTTTACAGCATGCTATGCAGTTTCAAAAGAAAAGCATTGTGATCGATTCCCTTTTATTGTCAAACATTGAGGATTCTCTGGAATCCCTTTATTACTTCTCACACATTGAACCTACTAGTATCTCTAACAAGGATTTTATCATTTGTGCCTTGTGTTTGTAATACTTGTACTGAATTGTATGACTGATGCTTTCCTTGGTTTCAATTAATTTTTATAATTCTTTATTACAATTGAAACATTTGTAGTGAGCCTTTCATGAGAGGGATATTTGTGTGTCAGACTTTTAGGACAGATCTGAATTCAATTCACTTTTATTTATATAGTGCCAAATCTCAATAAAAATAATCTTGAGGCACTTGACATATTATACTGAAAAATCCACCAAATCCCCTTTGAGCAAACACTTGGTAACAGTGGGGAGGAAAAACTCCCTTTAGCAGAAGAAACCTGCATCAGTCCCCGGCTCTTGGTGGGCGGCCTTCTGCCTCGACCGGTTGGGGTGAGTGTTTGTGTGCCTGCAGCAGATGAAGACATGAGTGTTTTCACTGCAGTTCATATTAAGAAAAAACTATTTTCTCAAGCCTTTTATAGGCCACTTTAACACTTTTCTTGTTTAAAGTCTCTCCTGCCTTAAAGAACCAGTTTTGAATAAATTAGGCTACTGTAGACCTTGTGGTAATAAGGCAGATAGCACCCAGTTGCAGAGAGAGGGGCCTACAACTGTGGTTTTAGGATGAGTAAATTATTAATATATATAATTTAAAGGTGTTAAAAAGATTTAAAATTTTTGTTAACATTCTGTCACCATATATTGCTAAGTCCTAGTTCTGTCCTCGACTGCCAAGCTCACCAGAATAACCCCCAAAATGGAAATAAGCTAATTTAAAGATATCTACTGCCAATGCTTTTGCTTCCACAACAGTAAAGAGAAAGCGAAACTACATACAAGTGACAAATTAAAGGAAAAATCAGCAGAACCTCTTAGGAAGCTGTTGGGCTACCACACGCTGTCTGAACAGCTTCGGTGTGCCTTGGCATTGATTGTGAATTCTACTGGAGGGTTGACCACCATTCTTCCAAAAGAAATTCCCTTATTTTGTGTTCTGATTATGGCGGTGGAAAGCCTAACACGGTGGTACAAAATCTCCTATACTTGTTCAACTGGGTTGAGATCTGGTGACTGTGAAGGCCATATCATATGATTCACATCATATTCATACTCCTCAAACCATTCAGTGACCCCTCATGCTCTATGGATGGAGCACAGTGTCATCCTGGTGGAGACCACTCATTTATTCAAGTTTTCCCTTTAATTTGTCACTCATTTTTATGATGGTCAAACCATTCAGAAATGTCAGATAAAGAAAAGGTTCTGGTCCTGTACTTGTATAGCACTTTTTTATGCATTGCAGCGCACTCAAAGTGCTTTCAAACTATTTGGCAATTCACCCATTTGCACTCCCACATTCACGCACCGGTGACATCACCGGGAGCAAATGGGGGTTCAGTGTCTTGCTAAAGGATTATTCAGCATGTTGACTGGACAAGCTGGGAATCCAACCGCTAATATTCTGGTTAGGAGATAACCGCTCTACCTCCTGAGCCACAGCCGACCCCAAAGTTGTTGTCAGAAGTGGGATACAAAAGAATTTTAAAGAGGGAAATGATGCTTTCAACTATAAGGGACTTTACCATTATGAAGATATTTCCCAGTTCTTTTAACCAGGAACTCACAGAGATGAAGCGGACCACTATAAAAAATAACCGTGCTGGTTTATTCAAAGGATCACAGGTAAAATTAACATTACACGTCCAGGCATCTTCCACCTCCAATACTGCGCGCAGGCAGACGGAGAATGAAAAAAGACCCTGAACCCCAGATCTCTATACAATTTATCTGGTTTGGGCTAACCCCATTCTACACAGGCACGTCAAACCGTGACGTCACCTGATATGCCAGCTTGCAGCTGACCATAACAATAGTCAAAACATGAAGAAAATCAATGTGTGTGAGTGTTGATCATGTGGTGTGTATCTAAAAACATACAGGACATTCAGGGACATGTCCGGACATTAAGCCTCGGAAGATATTATGATTAAGATTACGGCTAAACATATCATACTAATAACAATATTCATCCTGTCTGCTGACTTTTTCTATCTAGTTGTCCTTGGGGCCCACATGCAGCCTGCAGAACTCATGACAATGAACTAAGCATTTAACAGCCTGAGCATAGACATCCTGTCTCCACTAAACTAATACAACAAATATCTAATCAATATCTATCTGACTAAGAAATTACCTAACAATTATAAGAACCTATGAAATGTGTCGTGCTGACTACTGCTCGTCATGGGTACGGTTTGTTCCACTACAGTTAGCCCACTCTCAAGGTGCGTTCTGGGAGCTAAATTTCGGCACCCCTCAGGAGGTAGTACTAAATTCAAGCACCAGGACCACGCCGGGGGAGGGGCAGCATGCATGCAGAGCAGTCATGATTGGTTAAATGTCCACGTCTTCGCACCTCAAGCATTAACATTACAAGAACACTGTTTAAGCACACAACTGACTGCATGAGTGAGAGGAGAACAGTCCCTCCGTCCTCTAAACAGAGACCAACAGAGAGAAAATACAGTGGACAAACAAAGCAGGACGGTATGCGTCAACCCTGGGCACTATGCTTCGTGATGCTAACTGAAGTACAGGGTATACTGCTTGTTAGGTTCTGATAGTGGAAACGCAGTATATGAGATGAGTGTGGCATGAAGACTTAAGTTCCTTAGTTCCAGGATAAGGGTAGTCATTTTCTATATTAATAGTATTTTCAACACTCCCCATACAAAAGGAACAATGAATTGTCTGTACTCATGGCTGATGTCTGTCAGTCTCCAACCTGGATTAGTTTATTCGTCTGTGCCATAGACCTCCATGGTTGTTCACATCCAGTTAAAAACAGGAGAGAAACACACCACTGCACTGCGTGGCACATTTCTTCATTACAACAGCCCTGCTTATTTCTTAAAAATGTTGCCCCCAAAGCTCCAAATGACCACAACTTTTTACAGCATCTGAAGTTTGAAGAGTCAGCCGTGTATCTGTGAGATCTCTGTGCAGCTCTCTGCTTTATTTAGTTTAGTTTATTTATGCCAGCTCCTTGTGTTTTCACAAAGATTTGAGAGAGAGCCTGACAATTGTTAAATTTAATATGGACACAGATTGTTTACAGATACCCTGACTTTTTCTCTGTCAACCTGAAATGTTAATTTCTATTTGTCCAGTTTTGTTTCTTTATAAGACATTGCAAGATATAGCTGTTGGGTTGCAAGTAATTGTATGAAATAGCCAATGTAAGAAGGATTTTCAAATGTTACCTGAATTCTTAAAAAAAAAAATCTGTTTTTATTTATTTATTTTTTTTCCAGTTGTAGTCCAAGGCAGAAGAGGAGAAAAATGCACAAAAATTCAGAAACAATCCACTCTCCCTAAATTCTCATTCATGCCAAATTCACACAATGTGATTATCCATAAAAATTGTCACAAAGCATGTGAGCAAACAGAATTAAATGAGTGACCATCCAACATCTGATCGTTTAGGCACCGTCAGACTATAGGCAGGAGAATTTTATAGAGATGTTCTCATTGATTGGCGGGGATTGGAAATGGCTGGTTTTCAGCATGATCGGTTTTAATCAGTGACCAGTGGATCACTCTGAGATTTCCAGATCTGTGCTGATCAGATTTAGAGGCACAGCCGTCTACGCCATCCATGCAATGGCACAGACCAAAAGCGCAACATGCACAGCATACAGAAGCTCAGGTGCACCTCACGCATGGCTTTCACTTGTGTCTGTACTGGGTGTGTGTTTGCTTGCACATTGGAAGCTCTTGGTGTCCAAATGGTGCACAGAGGAGCTACAGAAGCAGCTTTTGAGAAGCAGAAACTATGTCCAGATCCCTCATAAATAATACACAGTGAGGGAATTACTGGCTACAGATGTAATGCATGTATATGTACGGAGTATCCAACCCGTGGTAAAACACAGCAAATCGAAATGACACACATTTCAGAAAGAACTGTGTACTCAGTCGGGCTGTTGTTTGTATTGCCTGTTACACTTGTTTATATTTGGAGAAGTATAAATACTTCATTTTTAGTTGGAGTTTTGTTATAAAAAAAAGAGTGAGAGACAAATGTAAAACCTTAAATATGGGGATGTAGAGGTATGATTGTATTAATGTGGGTATTTCATTACTTCTGAAGTGACAATATGTTTGATTTGTTCTTCACTAGGAAAGTAGTGGTCCAGCACCTAATAAACTCCTTCCAGCGTTCGTCAGGAACAGCCATGACTAAAACATTCAGAGTCAACTACAAACGGCATGTTCTGACCATGGATGACCTGGGTACTCTCTATGGACAGAACTGGCTCAATGACCAGGTACAGCACTACAAACGCTTAACATTATGAGCCTAACACAATACACCTTTTGAGCTAATTTTGACTTGTCACAGCAGGAAAAGCACAGATGAAATTCAGTTCCATTAAATGTCCCACTGAGCAAACATTCACAACACCAGGACCCCCTGGATCTAGTTAAGCGAAATAGAATGCAGTCATTTTTAATGTTAATCAGTTAAAGCTGTGCTTTTTCTGCTGTGACATGCTATGAGAAAGGTTTAGGATGTCTATAGTCATATTGCTAATTGGCATTATGGCCAAGGGATTTAGTATTATTAAATATTATTAAGGATGAAGTTAGTGATTGTACTGCCACCTGATCCTCAGGCTGGTCAAATATGCCTTGTGCTTTTCTGTAAAACAAAGTGCCAAAGAAAAAACAGCCAGCCCAATAAAACAATCAAACCTTTTCCTAGGCTTTTGAAAGGTGATTCATAAAACCAAACATTTCAGTATAAAATACACTTTTTTCTCCTATAGCAGGAAAAATTTCGATTGGACAGTAGTCACATGAGTTCTGGTCTTGACTTGGTATGTGGGGTTTGTATTGTATTGAAAGAAGAACTCTTAAAATGTTTTAGATATTTAATTCTTTTAATTAATAAAATTTTACTTTAATTTTGTGATATTAAATTCTGTGCCACTTGAGGTACATCTCGAGTCCCTTATTTAGTTTCCTCTCTACCCAGAAATCCTTTTAGTCAGCCTTTTTAAACAGGCTTCTCAGCGCTCTTTCTGCTCTAAGGGCAGAGACACACCAAGCTGATGGTCGGCGGTTGGCCGCTGTCAGAGCTTGTCTTCCCAGTGCATCTCGCACTGTTGCCTCTAAGTGGATCCGGTTTTGCAGCTTTACAGCCGGTTTAACATATTGAATCAGCGTTGGCCCGTTGGGCCTCGTCAGTCAGAGAGACCAGTCTTATTGGCTGTTTAGCTTAGCGAATCAATGCATGAGAAGAGAACACTTCAGGGAAAGCCCCTTCATCCTGCTGCTGTAGTATCCATGATTTCACACATTTAGCGTGGTTTCTCCTTTTTCTTTATCCACCTCCACAATCTCCTTTCTTTTTCCACAACCAAAAGACCAAGGCCTGAGAACGGCAGTGTCATTTGCACCTTCTTATCAGACATAATCTTGATTAGAAGTGACTTTAAACAGAAGCTGTTGTGAATGAGAGCGGCTTTGTTAACATTTGTATTTCCACTGTTTAGGTCTTTTTCTTTCCCTTTCTGAATGGAAAATACAGATACCGCCACCTGATGGTCGGGGGAGTTATTTTTCTCATGCAGGTGCAGAATGTATGTGTTAGTTGGCTGTAGTCCTTGCGCTGTGTTCAGGTGCCGCTTTTTCAACTCAACTGTCCCAGACAAAGCCGATGTGAGGTGATGCAGCAGTCAGCCTACGTCGCTGCTAGATCTTTCACGTTGGCTTGGTGCAGCTTGGTGTGTCTCTGCCCTAAAGAGTAAGAAGTCATCCCTGAGGACTCCTGAGCAAGGATACACAAGAACAGTGTTAACAGGAGTGTTTTACCAGACCAACACCCCCTTCATCAGAAATGTTTTGGTCATTGCACTGCGCAGCCAGTTGTTAACTACCTTGTACTGCAGCATATTGTATGAGGACAAATAACAGATTCATCTCAGTGTATTACTCCCAAGTTTTAGTTTGTTTCCTGTGTAGGTCTTAATAGCAGAAGACCCACAAACAACTGTCTTCATTCATCAAAAGCATTTGCCTTTCTTGATTTTATTGCTTTCCTTTTATCTATATCATGTATGTATATTGCTAGTCAATGTGCTGACAATGTCGAAAAAGTACTGATAGGAATATTTTAAAAGATGACTCACTATTGTGAGTGCTGGAAAGCCTGCTGACTAGGGATGCAGTGGTACATGATTCACACAATATGATAACATATCAGAAAATATCACGGTTTCACTGTATTATTGTTATCAGCTACTACAGCCCTCAAAGCAGTGAAAACGAGTCTTTTTTTTTTTTATTGCAGGGGACTGTGCTATTTGATTGAGCTGGATTGTAGCACTAGATTGACCCTAAATAATAAACAGAATTTTAAACATGTTTTAAAACAATTAGCATTCAGTCCTGGCCAAAAATACTGGCACTCCTACATTTCTATCAGATAACGCACAACTTCTCCGGAAAACTGTTGCAATCACATTCTGTGGTATCTCATGTTTATTTCTTTTGTTTGCATTGGAACAACACAAAAAGCTGAGGGAAAAAAAAGCCTAATCTGATCCATCTCTATGGGATTTAGATCTGGACTCATTGCTGAACACTTCAGAACTCTCCAGCACATTGTCTGAAACCATTTCTGATGCTTTCTGAAGTCTGCTTTGGCTCATTGTCCTGCTGTAAGACCTGTGACCTCTGACAGAGACCCAACTTTCTGACATTGGGCCCTACATTGAGCCCCAGAATTCATTGGTAGTCTTCAGATTTCATAATGCCATACACACAGCCAAGACATCCAGTGGCTGAAGCAGTAAAGCAACCCCAACACAGTGACTGTCCACTGTGTTTGACTGTAGGGACTGTGTTCTTTAATTTGTAGGCTTCATTTTGTTTTCTGTAGTGTTGTCACGATACCAACATTTTGGTACCGGTACCAAAATGTATTTCGATACTTTCAATACTTTTGGATAGTTTTTCAGATAAAAAGAGAACGCAAAAAATGTCATTACTGACTTTATTTTAATAGAAAATCTTAAAATAACATCAAAATAAAATTCAAAATACTAGGCTTTTCTTATTGCACTCAAAAAAAAATTTTTTTTAGAACAGTCAGTGTGAGTAAATAAAAAGTATGAAGTTAGAAGTTCTAACTTAGAACAATTAGAACAAATAAAATTATTTGAAATTAAAATAAGCTAGCAACTGTAGCAGCAAAATCTCTTATTTCCTCTCAACATTATGTCCCTTCTCCCTACTCCCTCTCTTGCCTACTATTGGGTGGCTGATTCTTTTGGAGTCGACTATCTACTGATTCTGACTCAGGCCTTTTGTCTTGTTGAGATTCTTGGCCAAGAAAACCAAAATGTCTAGATGTTCCTCACTCAATCTAGAACGCCTTGGACTACAGATATTTCCAGATGTGCTGAAGACACGTTCTGATGCACAGCGTGATACTGAAATGCACATATATTGTCGTGCAAACTGAGCCAGGATGGGAAGATCAGACTCATGATGACCCCACCAGGCTAGGGGGTCCTGTGCAGCACTTATATCTCTTAACTGTTCATAGTCATCACACGGTTTAGTTTGTCTTTAGGTGTTGTCAATGTGGATGAATCGTGTCCTGTTGAACTGTCTGCTCCCCTCTTTTCCTGGGTGATGGTGCAGAGCAGGCTTAGATCACTTCTTTTTTTTTTTTTTTTGCTACAGCACCTTCTGGTTGGTGGCTAAATATGTATGTAAAACACTGAAGGACTGTGCTGTAACCACATTTAA